GTGGTTTCAGTAACTGCAGTTAGTGTTGAAGCAGCATGTCAGGGAGACGCTGTGTGTTTCTAGGCGAAAGCAAAAGCACTTTATTTGGCCTTCCAGAAGTAGATGCATTTAGGAATCTTTAAGATTACTTGCAACATAACAGCAATGCATTTTATGGACGACCGTTTCGTGAACCTAGGAGAGGAGGTAATTCTGACTTTGCTATGACAATCTGGCGCTTCTGAATCAGCTACTGTTTTCTTATTAGTTTAAGAACCCTTTCGGGTTCTGTCTTTACGTTTATTTTGAAAGATGAAGCTCGCGATTATGGTAAGGGGCGTTACATTTCCGACGAGTGCTTGCGGTGTTCGGCCAATCACAATGCACTGGGTCAGCTGGCCAATCAGAGCAGACTGCGCTTGTCGGAAGGAGGGACTTTGTAGAAAACTAAGCGTTTGAGAGAGGCGGGGCATAGAGGACCTACAATAATGTACAGTATTTGAAAAATAATGTGTTTTTTGAACATTAAAGCATGTCAACATATTCTGTTACACCAAATAATGATCTTTAAAAAAGCATCATATGACCCCTTTAAAAAAAAAAAGTTAATAAGGGGACAAATAATGAGTGTGCCTGAGAAAAGAAGACATAATAAAATGTTTTATGTATTGCATAAAAAGAGGCCTATATCCAGGTAAACACAAATAAATATAGAATAAATGCAGCAAACTAAGAAAAACGGAATACAACCAGTTGTGAATTAAATAAATAAAATATTGGCGACTATAATTGTGCGTCACAGTTGATTTGCATGTCAAATTCGCGTACAGTCACTGAATGTCTGGCATTTGCAGTAAATATGTATAGCCAGAGATGCAGTACAAAGAGGTTTGTGTTTGTGTGGATGCGCATCGCATCGCACCGCCCCGCCTCGCGCAGCTGGAGCTCCTCTGATAGCACGCGTCGCGACGCGCACTGTTCAGAGACCAGCCGCGCTGTCAACATGTTTCTGCTCGGATTCAGCCTGTGCCTGGCCATCGTCTATGGAATTGTCCCCGAAATATCCAAAACAGACATGGACATCATTTCAAACATGGTAACAAATGTAGAAGAAGGACAAACGCCGCTGAGCGATATGTTCAGAGAGGTGGAGGAGGAACTGATGGAGGACACGCAGCAGAAGCTGGAGGACGCGGTGCAGCAGGTTTTCTACTTTCAAATACAGTCGAATTATTGTTCTTCACTAATGCATCTCTCTCAGAGTAGATCTGGAGAATGATTTTCCGTCATAACTAATAGCTGCTTAATTTTAATAATAGCACCACTGGCCACATGCCAAATCAGAGCAGAGTTTTCCTAAAAATCATCCATCAGCTTAATTCATGTTAGATAGCATGGACATGATAGATATGGCATGCAATTATTTTATAGACAGAGATGGGCCAATATTGCATTATGACCAATAAGGATTCTTTTCATAATCTTATAGGCTACACTTTTCATACTGTTTTACCTGTGAATGTTTGTGTGGATGCGCATCGCATCGCACCGCCCCGCCTCGCGCAGCTGGAGCTCCTCTGATAGCACGCGTCGCGACGCGCACTGTTCAGAGACCAGCCGCGCTGTCAACATGTTTCTGCTCGGATTCAGCCTGTGCCTGGCCATCGTCTATGGAATTGTCCCCGAAATATCCAAAACAGACATGGACATCATTTCAAACATGGTAACAAATGTAGAAGAAGGACAAACGCCGCTGAGCGATATGTTCAGAGAGGTGGAGGAGGAACTGATGGAGGACACGCAGCAGAAGCTGGAGGACGCGGTGCAGCAGGTTTTCTACTTTCAAATACAGTCGAATTATTGTTCTTCACTAATGAATCTCTCTCAGAGTAGATCTGGAGAATGATTTTCCGTCATAACTAATAGCTGCTTAATTTTAATAATAGCATCACTGGCCACATGCCAAATCAGAGCAGAGTTTTCCTAAAAATCATCCATCAGCTTAATTCATGTTAGATAGCATGGACATGATAGATATGGCATGCAATTATTTTATAGACAGAGATGGGCCAATATTGCATTATGACCAATAAGGATTCTTTTCATAATCTTATAGGCTACACTTTTCATACTGTTTTACCTGTGAATTGTTGTTAGGTGTTATTCTTCAGAGATCCCACAAATTTGCCATTTATCACCAACCTGATATAAAAGAACTGATGACCGATTAAAGTTGAAAAGTGAATATAAGAAATACATAATGGTTAAATTGATTATCAGTCTATCCTACAGACCTTTTACCTCTTTACACAAAACTGTATTGTCAGGTAACATTGGTAAAAAAAAAAACAATAATATCCCTGATTAAACCTTTAAAAAACGTTCCCACTGTAAGGGACGTCATTATAAAGTTTTACATTAAAAATAGATCCCACAAATTTGCCATTTATCACCAACCTGATATAAAAGAACTGATGACCGATTAAAGTTGAAAAGTGAATATAAGAAATACATAATGGTTAAATTGATTATCAGTCTATCCTACAGACCTTTTACCTCTTTACACAAAACTGTATTGTCAGGTAACATTGGTAAAAAAAACCCCCAATAATATCCCTGATTAAACCTTTAAAAAACGTTCCCACTGTAAGGGACGTCATTATAAAGTTTTACATTAAAAAGAATTATATAAAGTTGTGCGAATCATAAAATACTTTAGTTTTTGCTTCTCGTTACGCCCAGAACTATGTTTAATCAGTTAGGAATTGCTCTTTTATGAGGACAGTCTATAAAACTTTTATTTTTAAAATCCTTACCCTACACAAAACTGTATTTTCAGGTAACATTGGTAAAAAAAAAAACAATAATATCCCTGATTAAACCTTTAAAAAACGTTCCCACTGTAAGGGACGTCATTATAAAGTTTTACATTAAAAAGAATTATATAAAGTTGTGCGAATCATAAAATACTTTAGTTTTTGCTTCTCGTTACGCCCAGAACTATGTTTAATCAGTTAGGAATTGCTCTTTTATGAGGACAGTCTATAAAACTTTTATTTTTAAAATCCTTACCCAGTTATAAATAACTGAAAAGGTTATGGAAATTAAATAGTCACAAGTTATGTGAATAGTTCCATCAATTAATGTGATTTTTAAGGGTCAGGTCATGTAGATCTGGTGCAGTTTTACTTATTGCAGCGTTTTCCTTTTTTTTTCTCCAGATGGACAATGAGACAGCAAAATCCAGCCTCCATCCACACAACGTCTCTGCAAACCTCCGAAATTACAGTATGGAAATCATAGCTGGGAATCAATCCATTTATACTGCTGAGAGAATCAATAAGGTGGGTATAGATAGTCTGATTCAATAAGGCAGCCTAAATAGGCTACAGTTATATGACTCTCCACAATACATGATTGGTCAAATAATTTGGCATAATGACCACTTAAAGACCCCCCTGTGGTGAAAATCAAGTTTTTGAACGTTGTTTACATCTGTACTTTTAATATATTATTAACAATCCATGTGCAAATTCACCAGTCAACATCATCGCTGAGCATTTTCTCCTTAAAGGGGTCCTATTATGCTCTTCTACAAAGTCTTGATTTTGTTTTGGGGGTGTACTAGAACATGCTGTCATGCTTGGTGGTTCGAAAAACGCATTATTTTTCACATAATTTACATTATAACAATACCTTTCTTCCCATCCTGGCACAAACGGCTCGATTAGTTCCGGCTTTGATGAAGGTCCACCTTTCCCGAAAAACAAAATGTGTAGTGATTGGTTAGCTGTCCCAGTGCATTGTGATTGGTAAACAGCTTAGATGGTGTTTCAGTACTGCCACGCCCCCTTGCTCCGTCTTTCAACAAAAGCTTTTGTTGAATCCGGCACTGTACTCCCTCATGTTGTGGAAGCTGTCCTCAGTAAAATGCGCAGCACACAATAGCAAATTGGGGTTATAATGCTCAGGGACAGAGTTAAAAAATAAATTGCAACCGCTGTTTCCTGACATCATCCGCTTTCAGAAGCCCAAACAAAGACGCTTGGGCACAGACGTGAAAAAAAAAACAGCGTTTCAGGCGGTCGCGCACCAGACGAGAAGCGCAGCGTCGCGCCACATCTTTAAAATTCAAATACATTATTTTCTATGAGTGTAGGCACACGTTCGGCGTCTGTCCGCGGCGTCCAGCTACTTCGTGTTGTACTTGTAAGAATTGTTCTAGACATGCCGAAAATTTGAGGCTACAGCACAGCAGCTCTTCTTCTTGTTTATTAACCTCTAGAGCACCAAAAGTTACATAGTGCTGCTTTAAATCTGTATTATACCAAAGACGAAATAGTCAGTTTCCTACCATGAAATAAATTTCACAAATGGTTCTAAATATGCCATTTTGATTATCAGAGATGAGTTTTAAGGGATAAAATTAGTAACTGCATGGGAACTTTAACTGTATAAGTCATATTGTCGTAGGCAACCGGTTTCCTAGACACGCACGTTATTTCTTGTCATTCTCCAGTTTCTTCTCACATACTCAAATCATTATTTTGAGTCCATTTATTTATTTTTGTGTCTAAATATATTTCAAATTAATTTCCCATCATTCTGTGCATTTTATCATGATAAATGCATGATAATCTCAGTAGCTAAATAGATTTCTGTGCTTTTACTCCCAGACAACAGACAATTCAACCGAAGTGACACACAACTCAACAACCATACAGCCCAGAGATGAAGAGAACAGCATTGATCACGTAAGCTGTCTGTCTGTCCATCTATCTTTCTGTCTAATTGTGTCTGAAAAACCCTTCTTTTTATCTTGCTCAGCCAGACGTTGCCACAAGCAAAGCCCTTTTATTTGCACACATCTTCTTAGAGACGTCAGGAGGAATGGTTTTCAGGAAGAGGAATACTCTTCCTCAGCTTTAATTTCCCATCTGACTGAAATGAGGCTGTCTGCTGTGTATTGACCTGCTCTTTTAGATGGCAGGGATCTGGATCTTCAGCTGACAAGGCAAGATAACGCCAGATAATCAACGGGTCTCGTCTGAGGCTTCACGGATCCATTTGACAGTTTAGATCCACTAATTCCAGCCATCCAGAAAGCTCAGACAGAAGAAACCAAAAGCACAAATCAGTTTGTAGACAGATGTAGTATAGGAGGAAATATAATGAATCCATTTTGAGGTCATTCTTTTGATAACATTTATTTGCACATTCATTTTCTTCCTGTAAAGTGAACGACCTGTTACATTACCTGAGGTTGTTGCATGTTTCAGTTAAATGTGTTTAACCATTTAAAGCCTAACACATGCAATAATAGTCTGTTTTATTTTCTAACAGAACAGTTTATTGAAACTAGATGAAATCCCCCCCCCAAAAAACTAAAAAACACACACATATACACATATATATATATATATATATATACACTGTATTTATGAACCAGGATGAAAAAGGAGTCAAATGGAGCATTAAAGGTGGGGTAAGTGATTTTTCAAAACCGTTTTAGAAAACTGATTCGGGCTGACTAGCAAAACAAACTTGTAGCCAATCAGCAGTAAGGGGCGTGTCTACTCATGATGTGGAGGAGAGAGCATTCAGTGCACAGGACGGACATTAGCGGAGCGACAGAAAGATAGAGATGGCGGATAAAAAAACAAAAGAGGAAAACATCTGCGGAACAAAAGAAGGCATAAAGCAAGAAGTAGGGCCTGTGTAAATATCGGATCAGCTTTCCAGCGCTGGAGAGATGCCGAGGTTGCTTTGTTTTTTCTCGATAGGTGAGTAACACCGTGTCTGCACCGCAACAGCTAAAGTCTGTCTAGCACACTGGACGACGCGACAAAGCGCTTTTGGGGTTGGGGCGTGTTTGTTTTGGTGATTTCAAATGTCAACATTGGCTACCAGAAATCGCTTACCCCACCTTTAAGGGAAATAAAGCTTTTTGCCCAACACTTAAAACATCAGCTTAAATGTGGGGGTGTAGACAAATACACCTATGCACCGATCATATGCTCACTGCTCCAGGTGCGTGTGTGGGGTCAGTGTGCAGACGGCACAAAGGGAGACGCAGGAACCATCTGTCAGTCCCAGAGTGATTGTAAGAAGGAGTTCTGCTGTGCCTACCATAAAGGTATGAGCATTTGTATTATATGATTATTATGCTTTCTGTTTAACATCTTGATCTGCACCTGCTGGATAATGCAGATTGTTAACTACTTGCTTTCAATTTTCAGCCCTGCTGCTCCCAGTTTGCAACTCTAAGCCAATAGAACGTGAGCGCTGTATCATTTCAGCCAATCACCTGATAGCGCTTCGGTCATGGGATTTGAAGGCGGAGGGTCCTCAAAAGCACTGCCCATGTGCCGGTGACCTGCAGTGCCAACATCTTGGGTAGAAATGTTTTCACTTAACATGACATAAATACCTACATAATTAAATTATATGCATGAACTATGTATGCTGAAATATTTTGAGTTGAATCGCTGTCTCAAGACTTTTTATGTCCTGTATCTCCTTCAGACGTGTACCAAAGATGAGGAATGCTGTGTGGGACAGCTGTGTGTGTGGGGTCAGTGTGCAGACGGCACAAAGGGAGACGCAGGAACCATCTGTCAGTCCCAGAGTGATTGCAAGAAGGAGTTCTGCTGTGCCTACCATAAAGGTATGAGCATTTGCATTATATGATTATTATGCTTTCTGTTTAACATCTTGATCTGCACCTGCTGGATAATGCAGATTGTTAACTACTTGCTTTCAATTTTCAGCCCTGCTGCTCCCAGTTTGCAACTCTAAGCCAATAGAACGTGAGCGCTGTATCATTTCAGCCAATCACCTGATAGCGCATCGGTCATGGGATTTGAAGGCGGAGGGTCCTCAAAAGCACTGCCCATGTGCCGGTGACCTGCAGTGCCAACATCTTGGGTAGAAATGTTTTCACTTAACATGACATAAATACGTACATATTTAAATAATATATTCATATTTATACACTACCAGTCAAAAGTAGTTTTTTCACCATTTATCTTGAGAGCCAATCCATCTTAGTTTAGTGTAGCAGCCAAAGTGACGCACCCATACAAGAAACCTCATGTAATTTCCCCAGGTAATAAAACACAAACTCGCTCCAGAAAATAAAAGTTTGGAAAACATGAATGTGTTATCTTTTTTTATATATATATATAATCTGAACTGAAGTATGCATTTATGACAGTTTTGAATTTTTCCCCTGAGATCCACTTATATTAGTCACGATACATTTTTTTTTGGTGTGGTCACTTTTACCGTCTGTGCAAATTTCACATGAGAGCAAAAGATTTCCCCATGCAGATTTCACAATGCGTTCAAGTTGGTAATGTGAATTTGCTGTGTTGACCAATACAAAAAAAGTGGCTTGGTCTGAAAATGACTACTGTGTGAGCTGTGCTTCATAAATGGCTACACTATTGACAACAGACAATGGACATTTTTTTACCCACGAAATTTCACCAAAATGTTGCTAATGTGACATCCATCTTAAAATTGCAGCCACATTTAATGTCATTTGGTGAATTTTCACAGGTCAAATGCAGTCATTTCAATAGGAATCCATCCATGCCATTGGGAATTTCACAAAACGGCAAAGATTTCCCCTTGCAGATTTTGCAACGGGTTCAAGTTGGTCGTGTGTATTTGCCATGTTGACCAACAAAAGCCACTTAGTTTTAAAGTAACAACAGACAATGGGCGTTTTTTGCATGAAATGCCGCTAATGTGACCACACCTTAAAACTACGCAAACACCACCTTCACACGTGAAATTACTCTTTCTGAATGAACTATTTTCCAAAATTAAAATTGTCAATTTATTCACCCTCAAGTTGTTCCAAAGATTTTTTTTTAATACTATATAAGTCTATGACTACCATCAACTCTTTGGTTACCAACATTCTTCAAAAAAATATTCCTTTACGTTCAACAGAAGAAAAACAAATACATGTTTGGAACAACCTGAGGGTGAGTAAATGACAACATTTTTATTTTTGAGTGAACTATCACTTTAATTTAAATAGATGCTGTTTTGTAGGTTATAGTATGCAAACAGTATTTTATATAATTTCTAGTATAATTTCATAAAATAAAGCAAAACTTGATTCCTTTTATGACCCCATAAAGCAGGGGTGGCGAACTCCGGTCCTGGAGAGCCGCAGCCCTGCAGAGTTCAGCTCCAACCCTAATTAAAACGCACCTGCCTGTAGCTTCCTAGTAACCGTTCAGACCTTGATTAGCTTGTTCAGGTGTGTTTGATTAGGGTTGAAGCAAAACTCTGCAGGGCTGCGGCTCTCCAGGACTGACGTTCGCCACCCCTGCCATAAAATAACATCATATTCTTCCTTAAAATATGAGCTCTTCATATACGTCAACCTGGAAGCAGGCAGACAGAGACTGATTGTTGCTTTTTATTTCAGTATTGGCAAGACTACTGTGAACAGCTTGTGGCAGCATTAGAAGCCCAGAAACCTGCAGTGGTTCAGTCGAGCCCTGACACTGGCGCTCATTCAGTGGGGCGTCTGCACCCTCTGCTTTCCAACTACGCGAAAACAGCAGAGAAGCATTTCCACACACACCACATCTGAACCAAGAGGCTCTGTTCACATTGTGCAGAAATAAAAACAAAAAATGAAAAAGAAACACAAGACATGTCTAAATGGAAAAAAGAAACGCCGAGTACAGATCAAAAAAATTAAAACGCGGGCCATTAAAAGTCACTCACAAGACCTAACATCGTCATCAGTCTGTAGTGAAATAATTTACAAGAAAAAAACAACAAAAAAATGAATCGGGTGAACAAAGCACACTACTTGATTCATATCGCCCTACTCTTAAAGCCTTGCAAATTCATATGTACCAGTGTCAAAAGCCCCAGTAGGAAGTGTAGTGAGAGGGGGCGGAGCTCCCTATAAAGTGGGTGGAGCTTCAGCAGTCAGTGGGCAACACCCACACACAAAAGGAAGCATGAATTGCAAGAATAGAACCTCTTCAGCCAGAAAATAAGCATTTAATTTCACAACTATGTGTTAAATAAACAAAAGGAGAGATATCCCAATATTCAAGTGAGAGCATCATACCCAAAATTTCAAGTGAAAGTGTCACTATGACTGGAGTTGATTGAAGAGCTCTATGCAATGGAAGATGCGGGGCTGGATACGTTAGGCGCTGTGCTCGAGTGCTGAAAAGACTCGGGATGATGGACGTTGAGAACGTGAGAATTTGATCGCATCTCAAAATCAGAGAGTGAGTGATGGACAAACAGCAAATGCAGAACGACGGGGTGAAAATCAATGGAGATGGTGCACTGAGAGTGCAAACTGATGAAAGAAATGAAGAGGGCGATAAAATATCTCCCAAACTGCCCCCTTTCCTCTAACGAGTGCACCCATCTCTGTATTATTAAATTGATTTATCTGAATGATTTTGAACTTGAAATGGCTTTTGCACTTCCCTTTAAACTTTACAGTACAATAAACTATGGTGCACAATTGTACTCGGAGCCACGCTATGCGTTCTGGAGCTCAAAGAAGAGAGCGTCAGCTGGACAGCACTGGTGACGTTGATTCAACGTGGGGCCCAAACGCCAGGGTCGCTGGCGAGGCAGCGCTACACTGCAGCGGGCAGGCCAGATAGAAAATAGGGAAGGATAGTTTCCTCCCCGTCTCAGTCCTGCCCAGGGTCTTTGGTGGGCCCTCCGTCTAAGTAAATTTTGAGGGCCTTTTCTTTGCGGGGGGAGTAGCTGACCCGGTGGCCCATCTTCAGAAGGCGGCTGCTCTCCTTCTTCATCAGTTCATTGCGCTCCTCCTCAGACAGCTGCATGAGCTCCTCGGTGCTGTCCCTGCAGAGATGGACGTAGAAAATAAACTCTATTGAATGCATGGTTGACTAAATGACCAACAAGCAACTAGTGAAATACTGATTAAGACGACTAGTCGGTTTATCTAAATGTTTCTTTTATCTTTAAAGTGAAAGTGAAGCAGTCAGTCAAGTTTACATTATGTAGTAAATTGATATTTACTTTAATTAAAAAGTACACAACAAACAAGCTTATTGTAATCATTTTAAAGAAAAAAAAGGATGTTTTGTTATAGCTTTTGGAACAAGGGCACCGCCATGCTGCAATTCCACAGTGTGTGACGTCACAGGGTTGGTTTGCTCCAATGAAGTAATATAAGCATTTCTTTACTTTTTGAACACATGCTTGTTTTGAAATGAAGGAAGACAAACTTGAAAGGACTCTTGAGCCCATAATAAGTCCAGTTGCTTATGCATGAGCCAATGCAGCGAAGGTACCGAGCAGTAATACTAGCGCTGGGACGATAAATCGATGCAGAATCGATTCATGGATCGATTCTTAGATTTTCAGAATGCATCGCGATTCCTCTGGAATCAGTTCTGAGCTTAGATTTTAACAGAAGATGGCACTCTAATCTAGTTTTTATCCGCACACTCAAATGCTCATGAAGAAGAGTGCTAAAGAGCGCTTGTGCGTTCGGCTGAGTCGTGTAATTTCACCTCAGCTCAGAATGCTTTTATGACGCGAGATTAATGTAAACACAGCCACTGTGAACACCTTTGTAATTCGCTTCAACCTTTTCGAATTTTATGAATGATTATTTCAGGTTCAAGTGTGTGTAAGGATTTGGAAACAAGCAGAGTACGGCCGTTTGTAAAGCATGCAGTGCTATCTGCTGTTCAAAACTAAGCTCAGAATCGATTCAAGAAAGAATCGCGATGCATTTGGAAAATCTCAGAATCGATGTTGAATAATTTCTCGATTCTCGATTCAACGATTTATTTTCCCAGCCCTAAGTAATACCGTTACGGGTGGAAGAAGTTGTGTGCATTTGCTCAAGAAGATGTGAAAGAGAACTCAATCTGGTCCTTGCGTGCTGTCTGAGCTGCGGCTTTTTGCATGCGTGCGCACAGAAACGATCTATCACAGTGCGCAAGTGCCGCATTGAAATCTCTTTCGCTCCGTCTTGCATTTGAATGGCTTAAAACACTTTAATGTTTAAACTGGCAAGGCTTAAAACACGTGAGAATGATGAACATTCTTGAGGAAGCAGCACTAGCCCGATCCTTCAGATAGGTGGTTAGTTTTAGTGTCATGTTAACAGCAGCTAAACTAATAGGGTATATGTGTAGAACGTCACCTGACCAAACCTGGAAAACGGGTCTCATTGCTTGTCGGAGAACGTGCTAACAGTCATAATAAATAATAGCGATATCTATGGACTTTTAAGATAATCAGTTAAACTAGCTAGCTGTTTTTATGGTTGGCGTTTTATTCCATTTTTATATCTAAATGTTAGTGAAAAGAATAAAAATAAAAACACTTTTAGATATCAGTCTGCATATGTGATGTATCTACTTTGAAGGCATCTTCTTTAGTAAAACTGCTTCATATTTAACGAAGCATTTGCAAAACACTTGAACCGGAAGCAACAAAACTCGGTTAACAGAATACAGAAGTCTGTTGCGCATAGTCCCTATTGTATTTGCAGGTGAACATAAAATATGTTACGATACCAATAATGGTGAACGAGCCAGTGTGATGCAAATATGTCTGAAAGGTCTGACATAACACTAAGATGCGATATGAATGATATAGTATGAAGCGTTGTTTGTTTACATCACATTGTGCCTCGCATGATGAAAACAATGTTTGGGATACCACAATCAAAACTTCGTGATGTAGACAGTTTAATGTTGGATATTCAACCAAATTATGCTTAAAACCAAAAACATTTGTGTGTTAAAAAAACATTTGTGTGTTCAAAAAGTAAAGAAATGCTTATATTACTAAACTGGCCAACGGAGCAAACCAACCCTGTGACGTCACACACTGTGGTATTGCAAGATGGTGGCACCCTTGCTCCAAAAGCGTAACAATTTTTTTTAAATAAAATTGAAAAACAGCTTACTAAATAATTTAAACTAACTGACTGCTTCACTTCCACTTTAATAGCACTGTTAATGTTTAAATTAAAGGTAGTATTATTAAAGTAACGAATTATTTAAGGGGTCTCCGAACTTGGTCCTCGGCAGATTTTCTATAAGCTTTTTAACTAGGGCTTCAAGACAGCCGGATGACGCTTTTTGAGGACTTTTTGCTGACAAATAAACAGGGATATCTGGGTGTGGGTAACAAAAACGTATACTATCAACATTGTAACAATACAAAGCTGGTTGAAAATTGGCAATTATCTTTTAACATTTAAAAATACATTAAAACCAGAAAGAAATAATTCAATTAAATAAAAATAAGAATATACCATAGTATTATATAGAACCATTTCACAGGACTAGCTAAACTAGTCTTTGACAACTCACTGTCTGGTTGAAGTCTGTCTTTTTGCCCATATTATGTCTCAAAATACAATTTCCTTACTTTAAAAAACTAGTAATCAACTTTATATATGAAAGGAAGAGGCTTTACCTGTAGAAGATCACGGCACCATCATCACAGATGTAGAGTGGCCAGACATTGAGGGTGGAGACTTTAGGATTCCAATCTAAATCCTGATGGATCTCCAACACTGAAATGTCACAAGGAAAAGTTCCTCGTCCCTGTAGGAGAAACAAGAGAATCAGATCTGAAGCACTGCAGGAGGGGAAACTCTGAAAAAAGCATCTGAAACTCAACCAAATGTGAAACGCAAAGACTGCCGTACCTTGGCAAACTCCAAATTTTCAAGAGGAATTCCACTCAATTCACTGAGCTGAGGGAACAGAATTAGCACTCAATTGAAGATAAAAACAAGTTTGGGAATTCTTAGCATTCATCAGCAGTGTTTCATATTCCACAGACCTTCTCCTTGAGCTCCTCTACACTGCTGCTCTCCAGCACCACCTCCCGGAAGGCCTCCAGCTTCATCTGGGCTGGGCACCAGCGACGGGTCAGAACCGCCAACTGGGACATGGACTTCATCCGCTCTGATTCTACAATCAAGGAAATCAATGAATGACAAAATATATGGGCAACTGAACTAGAATATTTATGACAACCCTGATGGCCACAGTCTTCACCTTCAAGGACTTCTAGGAACACCTCCCAGTTGCTGGAGATGTTGATGTCCTCCTCATAGACGTGATAATCCAGAAACACTGTGCCTGGGTTCTTCCAGGTCTTCTTCCTGAGTCTAAACCTGTGACACAACAGAGCAACAATCATCTTGTTAGTATTCTGAGGCATTAATCCTCCTCTGCTGTGAGTCAGTGGTCAGTTGCTGCAGTGAAGCACTGAGATGCGTCACTGCTGCATGCAGAAGGTGGATGTGCATCCAAAACTGCTGCAGCATATTCATGAGTCAGGCCTGTGACAACAACAGCCATCCCAAGCACAAGAAAACCGAGATTCCAGATGGTTAGCATGGTAAGTTTTGAATAACATTTTTTTTTAAATAAAACTTAATTGAACATATAACACATCCAAAATGTAAAAGTATGCAACCTATTCTACTTTGCTGAAACACTGCAGCAGATTTAAAGTTGCATTCTTTTAATTCAGCCAAGAGGTCACGCCATGACATATCAATCCTCTGTTGGTCACACATGATTCAAATTTGCATGTCGTATTTCACCAAAATTGTACTTTGGACTGCAGTGAAATGCACACAAGTTTGCAATCCCTGTCCACAGCATTCATATGAATATGGTTGTAAGTCAATGTAATAAAAGTATAGTGTGACCACCCCTTAAACTGCAAAAATGGCTTGTTTCATAGTCTGTGATTTTGCAAAGGCAAAAAGGTAATGCGTGAATATGTTAACAAGCCACATGTATACACCGTTTATTCAGTAAGCATGGCTACTTATTTCACATGCTAAAATATAAGTCAATCATAACAAAAGATTGTTACATAGTTGAAAAATCATGAATTTTTTGGGTGCAAAAGACCTTGACTAGCATAAGTAGACCTTAAGGGCCCGATATGCTTCAAGTGAAATCGAAGAATGAACCTGTGTGATGTAATTTCTAACAAAATCGAGCCAAAAGTCTATTTCAGAAGTTCAAAACAGCTAGCCAAAGCAAATATTTGGGAAAAGTTCGCTCAGACTGGTGAACACTTTCAGAATAGCACTTCTTTGGTGCGGTTAATTTCTTCCATTCTGTCCATTGAGGTCAGATGCAAATAAACACACACTGGAGCTGCTTCACAGTAGATTTTGAATTTGTCATTCTAATTGAAAGCAACAGTGACACTGTTTTTTCCCCCCATATTTAATAAATACTATAAAGATGCTTGTTTAAAAGCAGGGGCCCTCAAATAGTTCAGTTATGGACCCCAGCTAGGAATTGTTTTTTTTTGGCAGGAAAATTCTCAGACATCATTGCTTTGGCTGTCAGGGCCCAATATCTTCATTGAGGATATTTTGAGTGTTTTGGATTTTTTCTTTTTACGAAGTACTAATGGTACCCAGATCGAAATTTAGAACTATTTGAAACAAGCATAGCTGGGAATGAAATTTAGAGACTGGACCTCTCAGAACTCAAAATGATTACCCCTGCTTTAAAGCAATCTATTGTATGAAGTGCCATATAAATAAAAATGACTTGACTCGACTGGAGTGCCAAATTGCAGAGCTCGGGTAAACATTTCCACATTGCTGTGATCAGATGGTTTTAACTTCTGACGTCTCATGGCTGTCATTTTTGTTGCAAAGAGCGATAAAATCGCTGTACGTATTTCAGGGCCTTTAGAAGGAAAAATCTAAAATGTTTGATACGGGCTTACCTATCTATACTGAGGTCCAGTTTGCACTGGTCTTTGAGTTGAGGCAGCAACTCCTCCTTAGACTGTCGAACAGTCATGCCCTTAGCGAACACAGTGTCCAAAAGGAACTTACAGGGCTGTCAAAACAAAATACATGTTACATGTGCACACACATCTTTTTTGGTCAATTTCAGAAAACTCATTCCACTGCAGAATTAACTAAATGCACCTCCATTTCCAAACTTTTTCGTCTCTCACCTCTGGATCATTGACTAGCAGCTGGTACACCTTCACCCTGTATTCTCCTTTCTTCAGTGCACGTCCCAATCGAATCGTGATCTATTCAACGGCAGAGCAGCAGTGCATATAAAAATGCAGTGTGTCATTTATGCTCCTTTAGTGGCATTAAATGGATTTGCAAGAATAGTTGTCCTTGTATATTAAGCTAGGATAGGAGAAAGTAAAGACAGAATCTCACCTTGTTGTCATCAGAGAAAGAAGAGAGCGTCTCATTAAGCCGCACACTCTCAAACTCCTGGTTGTTGGCATAAACCCGGAAGACCTTAAACTGAGTGGAGGGGACACCAACAAATGGCTCTAGATTCTGTTTGAATGCTGCCAGTGTGATCCTCTTGTCAACATGGACAAGTAAACCTGAAACAGTCATCATATTAGCAACATTAACTTCTTGTTTTTAAGTACATACACTACTGTTCAAAAGTTTGGGGTCTGTAAGATTTGTATTAAATAAATTAATACATTTATTCAGCACTGATGCATTCAATTGATCAAAACGTTTCCACACAAATATTAAGCAACACAACTGTTTTCAATGCTGATAATAAGAAATGTTTCTTGAGCACCAAATCAGCATATTAAAATGATTTCTGAAGGATCATGTTACACTGAAGACTGTAGTGTAATGCTGAAAATTTAGCTTTGCCATCACAGAATAAATTGCATTTCAAAATATATTTGAAAAGAAAATAGTCCATTTAAATTGCAATAATATTTCACAATATTATTACTTTTACTGTATTTTGATCAAATAAATACAGCCTCTGAGAACATGACACATCTTTCAAAAAAAAAAAAAATCTTACCAACCCAAAACTGTTAAATGGTAGTGTATTTGGTTCAACAGAAACAGATGTTTTTTTTTTGGAGTGATTATTTTATTTTTTGACAAGGATACTATTTAGCTGCTTTTCCACTACATATGTGTAAGTCAACAACGCTGACTGTCATTCAGCTATCAGATACGGATCAGTTATCTGATACAGGAATTACTTTATTTCTTTTTTTGGCTCAAAAACCAGCCTAAGACAGTTCACTGGCTTTAGTATGGTTAGCCTTTAGTTTAAAGGGGTCATATGATGCGATTTCAAGATCTCTTTGGAGTGTTACAAGCTGATTGTGCATAGATAAGATCCCACGATTCAATTCACGATTTTGATTTCACGATTCGATTTGATTCACGATTTTATTGTATTTTTTTACAAAATGAGATTTAAGACAAATTATAAATTAAATGTGTCCTTTTATTATTGCTTGGACAAAATGCTGCACATTTCTTTGTGAAATTGAAATATAACACTAAAATATAATAATATAGCACTTGCATATTATTGCTCTTTTGTTGGTTTTGATTGCTTCTATTGTCCTCATTTGGATTAAAAGCGTCTGCTAGATGACCAAATTGAAATATAATGTAAATGTAAATAACAAAACTAAATTGAAATTTTAAAACAAGCTCCAAATTAAATAAATAAGTAACACAAAAGAAATCTCTTCATATAAACAAAATAAGGCTTTGTCTGTGCTCTTTTCTTTTAAAATTAGAGGCAACCACTGCCTTTTAATCATGACCCAGACAAAGATGCTGCATACATGCAACACGAGCAGTTTTTAATCTAAATTAGATTGTATAATTTCGAAATTTGAAGCAAAAACAGAATGTGTTGACTTCAGTTTTGTGAAACTATATATAAAAATATCTGCATGAAACAGCAGAGCTGAATGAGCCGCAGATTCACGCTCTGCCAGCAGGTGGCGCTTAAAGCGTTTCCTTGGTTTCCGCTTTAAACAAAGCAGCACTGCACTTATGAACTTTAATATGCATTATACAGAGGCAAGAGGAAAGGAAAAAATACCATCTAAACTTTTCTAAAGACAGTAAGTTCCTCTCAGACACACATTCATATAAACTCATACCCCTAAATGAATAGCGATTTGTTTAGCATCTCAACCGATTTAAATAGTCACATATTTGAATCAATTTTCAACCGGCTCGCGGTTAATCGTTACATCCCTATCCCTGAAGTTGCAAAGACTGAAGTCTCAAAACCAAAGAGGTAATTCTGACTTTGCTATGACAATCTGGCGCTTCTGAATCAGCTACTGTAAGTATGTTTTGTTATTAGTTTAAGTATTTGATATGAACTGTTCAAGTGTGTAGTTTTGCGCCTGTTACACCAAATACACAAAATAATGATCATATGACCCCTTTAACGGTTTGATTCTCTTTGGTTTTACTAACATCTGATTAAAAAAAAGGGGTCAAATCATCCTTAGATTTAAACCATAATCTTGTAGTTTTTCAAAATGTTACCATCCAATGGACTAAGGCTGTACAATATTGGAAACAAAACTGGCATTGCAATATTTTTTGTTTTTCTGAAAACAATAATCAGAGAGACTTTACATTTCTGTCCTTCTCCAGATCCGTCCTCCTGAGAGTATGGCTCTGCTTTGAAGTACAGGTACTGGGAGTCAGCTTTTCTCTTGCCGTGTAGCCAAAAATACATTGAATGGGTCAAAATTATTGATTTTTCTTTTATGCCAAAAATCATTAGGATATTAAGTAAAGATCATTTTCCATGAAAATATTTTGTAAATTTCCTACTGTGAATATATTAAAACTTAATTTTTTGTTTAGTAATATGCATTGCTAAGAACTTTATTTGGACAACTTTAAAGGGGATTTTCTCAATATTTGGATTTGTTTGCACCCTCAGATTCCAGATTTTCAAACAGTTGTATCTCGGCCAAATATTGCCCTATCCTATTGCTTGTATAATGTACCCTTATGACTGGTTTTGTGGTCCAGGGTCACATATATTGCGATATGATAAAATACAGCAAGTTTCAGCTATTGACTTGAAAGGTTATATTTGGAAAAAAAACTAATCAATCTAGAAAGTTTGAGGTGATTTTGTTGGATAGAATCTGCATCTGAAAATAAAACAAATTTTAAACATTATTTTTTTGTTGTTTTTTTGAGTGCGACCCATCCTTTGATTTGGGATGAACTTGAAAAATGTACTATTGGAAATGTATTTATAAAATTTCATGTAATTAAACAATTTTATTTTATAGTACACTATAAAATTACAAAACTAATATTTTCATAATTAAAAATGTTAATGTCTGTTTAACATAAAATGTTAACATAAAACTGTGAAGCTTTTAAATTGACCGTTTGCTAAAGAATAAAAATATGTGCTGCATTATATACACGATATATAAACAAAATTATTATCGTAACATACCTTAACGGGATAGTCAAATTGCAAAGGATGTGATTTAATGAAAAATGCACTGTGTTCATTTAAATCACAGCCTTCGTAAAATGACTTCTGCGCCATACCGCAATAACGATTTTAGTTCAATATATAGTGCAGCCCTATAATGGACCAGTGTTACTCGGTTTAAATTTGGTACTTGGCAAGTATTTATTTCAAACCCCACTCTGCTTGTTTTCATTCCACCCTGACTAAGATCTCCTAAATCAAACAATAATCAGAGAGACTTTACATTTCTGTCCTTCTCCAGATCCGTCCTCCTGAGAGTATGGCTCTGCTTTGAAGTACAGGTACTGGGAGTCAGCTTTTCTCTTGCCGTGCTCATCGTACTCGCTGTCCGTGCCAGAGTCCTCCTCCGCCGTGTCCCACGTCTCCTTCTTCCCCTCGTGTGCTTTGGAGCGCCGGCTGCTGGTGATGCTGTGCGAGTCGAGGCCGTTAGCCAGCGGGAGCGGGCCGCTGTCCGCGTTACACAGCGTGTCGCTGCTGTGGCTGGAGCTCAGGATGTCACTGTCCACCGAGCTGGTGCTGCGGTCGTTATTGGCGTCCGAGTCAGAGCGATCCTCAGAGGGGAACTGGTTCTCCGTGTCGGAGGCGGCCCGTGTGCAGTTCTCCGTCTGGGAAGACTGCGAGGCAGCATCCGGCTCCTGTGCTGGTGACTCAATGTGCTCGAAGTCGCTGTGTTCTGAGCTCTTCTGACTGTCACTGGTGCTGGAGGATTGCTGCTGATGCTGCTGTTGTTGCTGTTGTTGTAAAGAAAGGTTCTTCAGCTTCTCTGTGCTCTCTTCAAGAATGGCCTCCACTGACTTCCTGCTGCCCTTCGCCCCCTCCAAAGAGTCCTCAGAGTCAGCGCTAGCTTTGGGGCAATTAGTTCTATTGGCCAAAGAGCCTGGCGACTGCTCGGGCAAGGAGACAGACAGTCTGATTGTGTTCCCGTGCCGATCCAGGAGCTTCCACAAAACAGAGTCAGTGAAAACGGCCTGATGATCCGTTGAGTCTGAGCTCTCCACGAAAACCTATGCATAAACAAGAGCATCTTATAGAAACAGGCAAACTTAAGGGACAATGAAGCAAAAATCTCTCTTTCAAGAAGGATCTTAAACACTTGTTAAACTTTCTTCCAGGTTTTGGAACAGAATTGTAAGACACAGGTATGCTCACGATCTGGAGGCCATTCCAAAATGTAGGTCAGCTAAAGATCGCTAAAAATTGGCAATAAGGCAGGACTTAAGTTCACTTAAAGAAAACTTAGAAGTATAATTTCAGTATAAAAACTATTTGACTTTTAGTTTAATTGAGAGTATACTTCAAAGTATACTTTCATAAAATAATAAGTAGTAAATAAACAGTAAGTTTGATAAAACTTGTAAACTAGTTGTGTATTTCAAATCTACTACTGTTAAACTACTCTTAAAGCAAAACTGAAATGGTACAATTACACATACACCACTAGTACACTGATTTTTACTTAAAATTAACAAAGTATACACATTTTTTTGTAACGGATTGCATATATATTCAATAACAGAATGCACTGCAATGGGCTCTGAAAAAAATCAAAAAATGTATATTGCAAATGTTCTGCCCACTAGATACCTCCAGGTTTGTAGGGCTGGAACATTTGGTCAGGCCTGCGGATCTCCAGGAGCAGGTCAAACATGTATGAAGATTTCACCCCGCCGAGCAGCAGACCCATAGGCATGTCTTCCTCCCCTTCATACGAACGTTCTAGATATTCGTGAAACTCATCATATTTGACCAATCGACAGCAGTCCAGTGGCACCACTCCCTCAAGATCCATCAGCTGATCACCCAGAGGACAATCACACAATGCACCCAGACAAACACAAGGAAACAATCAGTGATAAATTAAGAGACACTCAGGCAATCTGATGCAGAGGTGAAATATAACTTTATTTTGCACTGGCCCTACTCACCTTGTATGCCATTTCTGTTGCTTCTCGGAGAGTTTTGTCCTTGTGAACCTCTAGCTTATTCTCCACCATCATAATTTTCACTGGATGCATGCAGAATAGCTTGATCTAATGGAATAGGGCAGAATAATAAGGCTCTATTCTAAACACAGACTGTCTGCACAGGTCTTTTAAGGCATCAATCTAAATATCAAGAAACCTCATAATGGTCAATAAAGCGCACCACACAAAGTCAGGATTTTCCTGTAAAACATACTCCAATATGTCTTATTTACAACTTAGAAAAATACTTTTTACAGTGCAAAAATTTTACCTGTATTTCCTTTGACCCTAACCACCATCAAATTTTTGTGGCTTAACACATGTAATGTTGCCTTAAATTATACCTAATTTAGGTCAAATTCTGTTTGGAACAGCTTTTGCATTAAAAGTGCACCTAAATGCCTAAAATGCTGTCTATGTAGGCAGCTCATTAGGGTTTGGAACAGAGTCCAAATCTCTTCATGCAGTTTACCTTGCATGTGTTGCGCTCAATCTCTCTTTGCCTCTTCTCCTGTTCTTCAGACTCTTTCTCTCGCTGCATCAGTCTCTTTATGTGTTCTGGGAAGTCCTCCACTTCCAGGAATTCTGCAAACACACACAGAGTCCATTACATTCCAGAATCTCAGAGAGGGACCGAGATCACTGGGAATGTTTTCTGATACCGAGAAAATTAATTCATTAACAACATCCAATCCATGTAAATTTCCACTTCTTACTTGCATTCCTGGAGGGGTCTTTTAGTCTGTACATGAACATATATGCATTTGTAGAGCTGTTGGGGCGTAAAAGTAGAAGATTTGATCAAAATGGGCATTATAACATACTTTACATTATAATGTGTTTTACAATGGTCTTATATGGCATCTCAGAGATCACAAATGTAAGGAGGCTTCACACACCTGGCAAAGGCACTGGAGTAATAGCCTCTGCTCCCTGAGGATCCGCCATATGTCTTCCGGATGTCATCCTGCGTGATCTGGAATGCACACATGATGGTGACAACACAAATTACAACCCTGTATTACAACCCTCCAATTACAAATAGAATAAATGTATATTGTCAAGCAGCAAAAAGGACACAAATAAAGAAAAGTAATACATAGTTGAAAGATTGTACGAAATGCCCTTAGAATGCACTTGGATGCTTATTTAGAACAATTTAAATTAATTAACGTTACAATTACGTTAATAACAAATCTGTTGATTTTTTTCGTGAAAAGTTCTCCTCTGTGTGTGTGTGTGTATATATATATATATATATATATATATATATGTATGAATGAATAATCCACACAATTATTAGTGAATGAGACCCAATATTTTCCTTTCCGTGTGAAATATTCCTTTAAGACTGATGGTAGCTGGCTGACCTTGCTGACGTGCTGGTCATTGAAGCTGTACCATTGGCTGTCACTGAAGGACTTGATGCAGGCGTAGTAGTGCCCACCTGCAGCACTCCCAGAATGCACCATGACTGAGAAGAGTTCAAAGGTCAAGGAGCTCTATAAAGGAGACAAGAAAAAGCATGTTCATATTTCATCTTCTATAGTTCAATACGTCTTCAGCGTTTGGGTTCAGAGAGGACATGGGGTGACCTTTGGTTTGAGCACCCGCTCTGTGCTGCTGGTGTTATCCAGACAGATGCCCTCGTCCACGGCATCATCCGTGGAGAAATCATTGCTCAGCTGGTCACTGTGGCAGCTTCCTTCATTCTCCGCCCCACTGTCAGTGCAGCTCTCTGTCTGAGGTGATTTCTGCAGAGTCAAAACATGTAATTAATTAATGCATCAAAATTATGTGTGATGCTCAAAACTACATGCTTTCGAAACCCACTAATCAGTGGTGACCTACTGGCCTAAGGAAGCACTGAACAATAAGACTATTAGACACGTGCATTAGGGAGCATTCATGCAGAAAATGTTCTTGTGTTCAAAAACAATGGGCAGACTGCAAAAGAACCGAACTATTTGATCTTGACAAGCATTCTTAAAAATGCAATGCTCACAGTATAAGATGTAAAAAAAAGAATAATTTTAAACTAGCTTATTACACTAAGGCTAGGGATAGGAATCATACGAAACGTAAACATTTTTAATGATTCAAGTTTTCTATAATGAGTCTTTTAAACAGAATCAAATAATTAGAAATGAGAAATGTGACTCTTATTAAACGTGCTGCCCTCATCAGTCTGTTGCCAAATGTTGAGATCAAGTCAAGTTTATTAGTAGTGCTTTTTACAATACACATTGTTTCAAAGCAGCTTTACAGAAAACCATGATGTTAAATGTTTTTAATATCTCAATATCTTCAAGTCACATTTAGCAGATAAGAGCTGGGTGATTATATAGATTACATTTTGTGACGATAAGAGCAATCAAGCAGTTGAGATATTCTATACAGGTGCATCTCAATAAATTAGAATGTCATGGAAAAGTTCATTTATTTCAGTAATTCAACTCAAATTGTGAAACTCGTGTATTAAATAAATTGAATGCACACATACTGAAGTAGTTTAAGTCTTTGGTTCTTTTAATTGCGATGATTTTGGCTCACATTTAACAAAAACCCACCAATTCACTATCTCAACAAATTAGAATATGGTGACATGCCAATCAGCTAATCAACTCAAAACACCTGCAAAGGTTTCCTGAGCCTTCAAAATGGTCTCTCAGTTTGGTTCACTAGGCTACACAATCACGGGGAAGACTGCTGATCTGACAGTTGTCCAGAAGACAATCACTGACACCCTTCACAAGGAGGGTAAGCCACAAACATTAATTGCCAAAGAAGCTGGCTGTTCACAGAGTGCGGTATCCAAGCATGTTAACAAAGTTGAGTGGAAGGAAAAAGTGTAGAAGAAAAAGATGCACAACCAACCGAGAGAACCACAGCCTTATGAGGATTGTCAAGCAAAATCGATTCAAGAATTTGAGTGAACTTCACAAGGAATGGACTGAGGCTGGGGTCAAGGCATCAAGAGCCACCACACACAGACGTGTCAAGGAATTTGGCTACAGTTGTCGTATTCCTCTTGTTAAGCCACTCCTGAACCACAGACAACATCAGAGGCGTCTTACCTGGGCTAAGGAGAAGAAGAACTGGACTGTTGCCCAGTGGTCCAAAGTCCTCTTTTCAGATGAGAGCAAGTTTTGTATTTCATTTGGAAACCAAGGTCCTAGAGTCTGGAGGAAGGGTGGAGAAGCTCATAGCCCAAGTTGCTTGAAGTCCAGTGTTAAGTTTCCACAGTCTGTGATGATTTGGGGTGCAATGTCATCTGCTGGTGTTGGTCCATTGTGTTTTTTGAAAACCAACGTCACTGCGCCCGTTTACCAAGAAATTTTGGAGCTCTTCATGCTTCCTTCTGCTGAGCAGCTTTTTGAAGATGCGGATTTCATTTTCCAGCAGGATTTGGCACCTGCCCACACTGCTAAAAGCACCAAAAGTTGGTTAAATGACTATGGTGTTGGTGTGCTTGACTGGCCAGCAAACTCACCAGACCTGAACCCCATAGAGAATCTATGGGGTATTGTCAAGAGGAAAATGAGAAACAAGAGACCAAAATATGCAGATGAGCTGAAGGCCACTGTCAAAGAAACCTGGGCTTCCATACCACCTCAGCAGTGCCACAAACCGATCACCTCCATGCCACGCCGAATTGAGGCAGTAATTAAAGCAAAAGGAGCCCAATGAGAGTGAAATAAAACTGGCTGAATCCGAGGACTATGTTATGATGTCTGTCTCCCCTCTTCCCCTCCAGTCCGTACAGGGCCGGACTGGGACGCAATTTCAGGCCGGGAAATCTCACACTCATCCTCACACTCATCCAGGCCATTATAAACACCCACAGCAAATTCTAAAAACCACAGACAACCCTATTATTTATATGGCCATCACATAAAAATGTCTAAATCCTTAGTTTGGGGCCGTGGAAAATAATTAAAGGTTGTCTTTTGAACTGCACCTTCACTTCACTTCCCTTTTCCTTTTCTTCCTTTTCCCCAATATCTCGGTCTCATCCTTTTTTTTCTTGTACCTGTCACTTCATCACCAGCAGGTCTACTGTTATGAACAGAACTGTGTCCACCTTGATGCAAAACAACCACCTCTTTGCAATTCGTAAGCACAGAATGTTGTTATTTATCTTAAAAAGACTAAAATACCCTAGATTTAACAAACCTATATTTCATACAAAATATATTAAAACACATTTTCTAAAGTGCCTAAATGTCCGAATTAGTAGGCGACATTTATTGAAAAATCATAATACTGAACATACTATTGCATTATTAGGCCGTGACTCATATTATTTGTGTGTTGCTGTCTGCTCTAGCTGCCTCCCTACCTACCCAATAAATCAGTGTGAATATCTGCCTGCTAAATTTATTAATGTAACATTTCAATCGATAATGATGTCCTTTAGCACAGTATTCTAAGTAGTGGTCGACCGATATATCGGCCAATATTTGGCTTTATTTTTTTTAAATATCGGTATCGGCCGATAAGTTTTCCTGTTTGGCCGATGCGTTCGAGGCGGGACTTTTATTTTGATGGCGCTGAGAACGGCAGCGCCTGGGCACACAGTGCTCACATTCTCCCTCGTGTTCGCTGTTGTCATTAACAGTTCTGTCTAAATACGGATAAAAGTCTGTCTAATAATCAGATAGAACGGTTAAACAAAGGAATTAAAATGTATACAAAAAGTATTTTAACGACAGCTTTTATATTATATAATAGAAAGGCAAACATTATAATGCTTTCTTCTTTGCCGTCTGCATTCAGCAAATATGCATTTATATAATTTAAACAAATCTTTGAATGTCTAATAAACATCCAATTTCAAAAAATTTGGCTACAGTTGTCGTATTCCTCTTGTTAAGCCACTCCTGAACCACAGACAACATCAGAGGCGTCTTACCTGGGCTAAGGAGAAGAAGAACTGGACTGTTGCCCAGTGGTCCAAAGTCCTCTTTTCAGATGAGAGCAAGTTTTGTATTTCATTTGGAAACCAAGGTCCTAGAGTCTGGAGGAAGGGTGGAGAAGCTCATAGCCCAAGTTGCTTGAAGTCCAGTGTTAAGTTTCCACAGTCTGTGATGATTTGGGGTGCAATGTCATCTGCTGGTGTTGGTCCATTGTGTTTTTTGAAAACCAACGTCACTGCGCCCGTTTACCAAGAAATTTTGGAGCTCTTCATGCTTCCTTCTGCTGAGCAGCTTTTTGAAGATGCGGATTTCATTTTCCAGCAGGATTTGGCACCTGCCCACACTGCTAAAAGCACCAAAAGTTGGTTAAATGACTATGGTGTTGGTGTGCTTGACTGGCCAGCAAACTCACCAGACCTGAACCCCATAGAGAATCTATGGGGTATTGTCAAGAGGAAAATGAGAAACAAGAGACCAAAATATGCAGATGAGCTGAAGGCCACTGTCAAAGAAACCTGGGCTTCCATACCACCTCAGCAGTGCCACAAACCGATCACCTCCATGCCACGCCGAATTGAGGCAGTAATTAAAGCAAAAGGAGCCCAATGAGAGTGAAATAAAACTGGCTGAATCCGAGGACTATGTTATGATGTCTGTCTCCCCTCTTCCCCTCCAGTCCGTACAGGGCCGGACTGGGACGCAATTTCAGGCCGGGAAATCTCACACTCATCCTCACACTCATCCAGGCCATTATAAACACCCACAGCAAATTCTAAAAACCACAGACAACCCTATTATTTATATGGCCATCACATAAAAATGTCTAAATCCTTAGTTTGGGGCCGTGGAAAATAATTAAAGGTTGTCTTTTGAACTGCACCTTCACTTCACTTCCCTTTTCCTTTTCTTCCTTTTCCCCAATATCTCGGTCTCATCCTTTTTTTTCTTGTACCTGTCACTTCATCACCAGCAGGTCTACTGTTATGAACAGAACTGTGTCCACCTTGATGCAAAACAACCACCTCTTTGCAATTCGTAAGCACAGAATGTTGTTATTTATCTTAAAAAGACTAAAATACCCTAGATTTAACAAACCTATATTTCATACAAAATATATTAAAACACATTTTCTAAAGTGCCTAAATGTCCGAATTAGTAGGCGACATTTATTGAAAAATCATAATAACTATTGCATTATTGCATTATTAGGCCGTGACTCATATTATTTGTGTGTTGCTGTCTGCTCTAGCTGCCTCCCTACCTACTCAGTGTGAAAGTGTGAATATCTGCCTGCTAAATTTATTAATGTAACATTTCAATCGATAATGATGTCCTTTAGCACAGTATTCTAAGTAGTGGTCGACCGATATATCGGCCAATATTTGGCTTTATTTTTTTTAAATATCGGTATCGGCCGATAAGTTTTCCTGTTTGGCCGATGCGTTCGAGGCGGGACTTTTATTTTGATGGCGCTGAGAACGGCAGCGCCTGGGCACACAGTGCTCACATTCTCCCTCGTGTTCGCTGTTGTCATTAACAGTTCTGTCTAAATACGGATAAAAGTCTGTCTAATAATCAGATAGAACGGTTAAACAAAGGAATTAAAATGTATACAAAAAGTATTTTAACGACAGCTTTTATATTATATAATAGAAAGGCAAACATTATAATGCTTTCTTCTTTGCCGTCTGCATTCAGCAAATACGCATTTATATAATTTAAACAAATCTTTGAATGTCTAATAAACATCCAATTTCAAAAACCTTGCAAACTTAGTCGGATCCAGTTGTGAGATCTTGTGAAGTGTGCATTTGTATCCTGCATGATCGCGTGTTCTCTGTGTGACGATCGATCCGTGCGAATTTAATGCTGACAGGAGGAAAGTTCAACTTCACCGGAGATCCACGATCGACAAACTTTAAACTCGTGATTTTAAATTATGCTGCGCTTTATGCATTTTTCCACCGTCATATTCATGTCATTTTCACTATGTGCTGTATGTAAAATGAGTGTTACCTTGGCTTTATTTGAAAAAAATATGATTAATGCACACAAACTTCCCAGAATACTGAGTGCCCTCTTGGTTTAAGTGTTTACTTTCTTTTTAATTATATTTTTATTAAATATTTATTTATATGTGAAAATACTTTGTCATCTAAAGTATAAGTATGTTTATTTAACACATTTATTTTTTAATCAATTTTCAAATGATTTCAAATTTCTTAAATATTAATTAAAATACTTCAAATTATATCAGCTTTATATCGGCCACCCTGCTTTCCAAGATATCGGCAACAGCTGTCAAAAAACCAATATCGGTCGACCTCTAACTCTAACTGATGATAATAATGGGGTGCTCCTAACAGGTGCTAGCAGTTTAATACTCAATAGGGCAGATGTGTAAATGGGGCAGATGAGATCACATTTCATTAATTATGGACTCAATAAGTATACGAGCACTCAAAGAAAAGAGAGCATAAAAGCTACATCTTACCTCGTCCTCAACATCGATGAAGGGGCTCATGTCCAGCTCCTCTGGGAAGGTCATGCGGTCATTGAGTTTAATGCGGTGCATAGTTGTGTAATCAAAGTCGAAGCGTTTCAGCTGCAGAGTCAGCAGGTATGGGAAATGGAGGAATCTCAGGCCCTGGAGACAAAAAAAGCACCGCATCAGAAACTGAAATGTGGTACAAGACTTCACAATCATCGTCTGCGATCTGAATCACCTTGCGGGCGTCACATTTCTTTTTGCAGCGCTCACAGAAGTATTGGTTGGGACCGTCGAGAGTCTCAGGCTGGATGAAGGCTTGCAGGGCTTCTTCCTGTTCGACATAAAATCAGTGGATGAGGACAAACATGACGATCAAAAGTTCAATGAGTTCGCCACCAAAGAACTATTTAGACAATTGTTTCAGAGTGCCGTTTTTTGCTCCACTTCATTTGGACATTTAGCACCAGTGCTGTCGTCGTTAACTAAAACTATTAACCATTGTTTTCATTAATTGAAATAAAATCTAAACATCAGATGAAAAACTGATCAAAAATCTAAATGTTAGATTAAACTGCCTTGGCTACAAAAACAGTTTAGGTACTAAAACTAGTAAAACTGAAATAAAAATAAATTAAAACTGAACAGAAATGTTTAAAACAAAAACTAATAAAAATGACAGAAGCATATAAAATTAAAACTGAAACAAATAAATAATTCAAAATATAAATAAATAGCTTAATACTATATAAATAATTTAAAATAACACTATTTAGCACTTTGGATGACAATCACTTATAAATATTTTCTGACTGGCTGTGGACTTTTTTTTTTTTTAAGACCAATGTACAATAGTAGCTCTTACCATATAGCAGTCATATTTTAATTTCAAACCATAATAAAATCAACAAACTGTGAATTCTCTGGGCATATAAATCAATTACAATTTTTTTTTTAACTTTAAAAGCTTAAAAATGGCTTAATACTGCATCTGCTAGTTAGCTATACTGCAACAGCTACACAAAATGATCAATGACAGCCGGACGCACCACACTGCCAAAAGCCTGGCTGGCCCCGAAGGGCCTGATGACCAGAGGGATGTCCAAGTATGTGTCAATCCTCCAGCTCTCATAGCCACACTCCAAACAACGCACATAGTCCTTCAGTTTGCCCTGGTAAAGCTGGTTGATCAGGTCAGCCTGGAAAAAAACAAAACAAAATACAGTATATCAAAATACTTTGCATACACCACTAAGCACAAAAAAAAACTGTTCAGTAAACACCCACACATTCAGAATGACACTTACAGTTGGTCTAAAAGTCTGAGTTACTGGAAAATTTTAATTCAATTAGAACTTTTGTTTTCCTATTATAGATGACATTATTAGCTAAATTTAGGTGAAAAGTTTAGTTGAAAAGTGGAACTGAATTTCAGAATGTCTTTGTTCTGTCCCATGCGTTAATGACAGCAGCACTTCAGCTGCAGGAACTCCACAACTTTGTGTAAAACCTGATGATCATGTTCTCCAGCATGATTAGAGAACGAACCAAAGAGAATCTTGCGCTTCAACAGAAGCAAGTACATCTGAACCTCTGTACGAGTTTCTTTGTTTGATTTTTTTTTTTTATAAATCCTAAAACTACAAACATTTTGAGGTTTAGTTTAGAATTTTTTTTCCATTACAGAAAAAGAAACGTGGGCCAAAAGCTGTGACACACCAAGTCATTGGTCAGTCATCAGGTCATCCCATGTTATGCCATCGTTGACCGTCTCCTCCTGCCAGTTTTTGTGATGGTGGCTTCTCAGCTGATTGGGCATGTCGAATTTGCTTGGAAGCCGTCGGTGAGGGTTGTTGCTTTGTTTACGTTTTGTATAGCTGTGAATATGTTGAATATCCTTGTTTCGGTTTCTCCTTTTTAATGATGAATATAGACTATTAGAATAGACAGTTAAAGGGATAGTTCACCCAAAAATGAAAATTAGCCCATTATTTACTCGCCCTCAAGTCATCCTAGTCACCCATATGACTTCCTTCTTTCAGATGAATCCAGTCGGAGTTATATTAAAAATGGTCTTTGATCTTCCAAACTGTTTAATGGAAGTCAGTGGGTGTTGCAGTTCATCAGTTTAAAAAAAGTGAAATAAAGCACATCCATCCATAATAAAAAAAGTGCCTCACACGGCTCCGGGGGATGAACAAAGGCCTCCTGTAGCGAATCGATGCGTTTTTGTAAGAAAAATATCCATATTCAAAATGTAATAATCCCTTTAATCTATCTTGCGCCAACAGTTGTACACGGAAGCACCTCTGGGAGGATGCCGCAAGATGTTGCCGTTGCGCATGCGCCGGTGAGTCTGTGAAAACCAACGTTTGTTAACAGGAGAAAAGGAAGCAAAGTTTCCTTACTTTAGCAAAGGAATACCAGTCTCCTTTTGGCTTATATCGAAATCCTCAGTTAAAGGGATAGTTCACCCAAAAATGAAAATTAGCCCATTATTTACTCGCCCTCAAGTCATCCTAGTCACCCATATGACTTCCTTCTTTCAGATGAATCCAGTCGGAGTTATATTAAAAATGGTCTTTGATCTTCCAAACTGTTTAATGGAAGTCAGTGGGTGTTGCAGTTCATCAGTTTAAAAAAAGTGAAATAAAGCACATCCATCCATAATAAAAAAAGTGCCTCACACGGCTCCGGGGGATGAACAAAGGCCTCCCTCTGACTGGATTCGTCTGAAAGAAGAAAGTCAAATACACCATATGTCCAGTCGGAGTTATATAAAAAATTGTCTTTGATCTTCCAAGCTGTTTAATGGCAGTCAGCGCATCCATCGGATGCTTTGAGGCTGAGTAATTCATGGGCTAATTTTCATTTTTGGGTGAACATTCCTTTAATTCCTCTCATGCAGGCACAGAACGCACATGCTAGTTTGCAGTCGGTTGTAGTCTGTGCAGTGTTTTTAGTTCAGACGAAACCGATGCGAAGCAACAATACTGTCGGCTTTCATTGCAGCTAGTTCTTTGAAGTCGGCTTGGTGTGCCCCGGGCTTTATCTGAGCATTCCAACACACAAACATCATAAGACCGTCTGAAGAAAAGTGAAGGCCAATTGATTAACATGATTCATATTCGAAAACTATAAGCAAAAGCTGCTTGTTTACAGTTTGCATATTTGCAGTCTTGGTTCCGGATTTCGTTTTTTATTGATGTAGCCAGGATACTGCCACCTGCTGGTATGAAGAGTTATTTCCTCTTATACAGGGCAGTTGGCTGTTGGCTGGGTTTAGTCTTTGCCATATATTAAAGCACAACTTTTTGTCCCAGATACAGGCAATACCACAGTCAGCTTTCATTGCCGCTAGTCACGGCCTTAACCTTTGGACCCCTCTCTAAACTCAAGAGAAATCCCAAACAAGAAGTTGAGACATGTTTTCAGCTGAACAACAAGTTTTGCTGACTTCCTGGAAAACAAACAGGATTTGAATTTTTTTTTTTTACAGCCTCAGTTTAGAAGAGAACAATGAGCTGAGTGTAGAAAAATGCAAACCTCTTCAGCGCGTGGCCCCTGACCCAACCCACCAGCCCAGACTAAGCTGCTGTTTACACAAAACTCTATCAGAAAAAGCTTCGAACTGCCTATAAAAATTATTCTTATTTTATTCAACACTGGGACTTTTGTCCTAGTCTATAGATCCCACTGGTTGTGGATTAGCACCATGTTATGAGGAGGTGGGGCTTGCATCACATACCTGCTCGGTCTGTTTCCACTTCTGCTCTAGTGCATCAAACATGACTCTGCAAAGCTCCTGGACGTCGTGCTGCTGCCAGGCTGCAAAACAAACAAGGTAAAGAGTTTCACAGTAATCAAGACTCCTCCTGCTATCTGATAACAGCAATGCTAATGTGGGTAAAGTTTCCCAAAGGTTCATTAAGTGACGCCTTGTACCCTCACTGCTGTCCCAGCCAAAGCTGCGGGTCACGTCTGTGGTCTCGATGGCGCGCTTCTTACTGGTCTGCAGAAGCACAAACAGCCTCTGGAGCTGGTACGGGATACTGTTGACCGGATCCTCCTCAGACTCCTCAAACTCCCAGCTGGTGTAGAAAGATTAAAAACAGTGTTGGAGGTAACGGTTGAAGAACGCACAATATGGAGGCAGCACACACTAAAAAACAATTCCAATGTTTATAAAAATGTAAAAGGCTTGCAAGATTAAAGTGACGCTGTTCTGAGCATTTTCTAGAAAAGTAACTAAAACAAGTAGCTAATTTACAACAACACTCCCCAAAACTGATGAACAACAATAATAATGACAATAAAATGGAAAATTCAAATTAACCACATGAAAGCAATTATTTTTTATTATGCAGTAATCGTTAGGGCTAGGCACATTTTTAATATGCTCAAAATATCAATGATTTTGTAAACAAAATAAAAGTAGGCAACATTTTAATGCACTTTGTATTTGGCTAGAAAGATTCTTAAATTCAGTGTCATTAAGTCAGTTTCACAATCCCTCCTTATCTTGAACTTTGTAAGCATGAGAGCATTAAGATGTTTTAATAATGTATTTGATGTAAATTCCAATCCCAAAAATGGCATTAGAGTTTCTGAATTTATCTGTTCAAAACTCTGATTTAATACATTTTTGCATTAATGGTTGCAGGCACTCTTGCTGCATGTTGCTTAAATCTTGCTCTAGTTATCCCAATAAACCTGACACTCAGACTACTTACTTGTAGAGTGCATTCCTGAACTCAGGGGTCATGAACAGGGTCTGCAGGAGGCTGTTCAGGTAACAGGTCATTGCTTGGTTGACCAAACCAACATAACCTTGAAAACAGAGGACACAAGACAAATAAATCTACGTGGCAAAGTTGGCATGTTCTTCATGACCAATGCATGTTAAAGGAGGGCTACCTGTGTCTGATTTGTTAAGTATGGAGGAATACGAGTAACTGGGGCTACTATAGTCACTGCTACAGCCCACAGTTCCATCCCGCGGTAAGGGTCCAATGAAGCGATCCTGAGAGCTGTCTTCATGACCACTGCTGTCCGCTGTGCCAGATTCATCCTGTAAAAGAGTTACACATTAATAATGCTAAACACAATGTTCACCATCTAGTATGCCTGACACAATTAAGATCCCATCCCTCAAGGATATCAAGTTAACACTTATTCTTTTATCAAAATTATTTTTCTTATGATATTGCATTCATATTATGTGGTATCCTTAATTTCTACTGGAAATAAATAGGTCAGGAACCCACAAGGTAACAACCTAAACTGGATTCCAAAAACAGTGGGAATGAAGATGTGAAACTAAGTTCAAGTCCAAATGTCCAAATGACAGAACAGACAGAAACAACAACAGATGAAATGAACGAAAGATTGATTTTTTTATTTTTATGAATATTTATTTTATTTTTTATTTTTAACCCAGTTAAACTGCCGATATAGTGACTCACTGAAGCGATCTGAGGCTGCTCCCCGTCCTTGTCCGTAAGCTGCAGGAAATTTCTTTTCCCCGCCTCAAAACCGGACAACACCAGGGACATCTCACTGGCCTGGTCCAGAGGAGCCTTCAGGTGTAGAGTTGAGACAGAAGGGGAAAAAAGAGAAATTAGTAAGGATGAAGAAGAGTTAGTGAAAAACAACCAGTACAACAAATGACAATGTGAGACATAATGCTGTCTGGAACAATCCAAAGAGCAAGTCCAACCATGCAGAAATACTGCAAAATGTCTCAAAAGATCTTCAGAGAGAAAATACCGGTAATCAACCTGATGTACTGCAGATAACCCACATCTCATCCCAGGATTCAGTTAGTGTGAAAGAAAAGCCAGTGCTACCTGAGGGACAACATGTACTAGCAAATTAGCAACAGGTCTGGACGTACTAATGTTCCTCTGGTGGGGGAGAGCAGAAACAGGCCTTAATCCACTGACCTACTCTGAGAGTTACCTGCAGCTACAGGCTCTGTGCTGGGTCAGCGCTGGGATTAACACACAATTAGATGGAGAATGGAGCAGAGTCCATGACACATCTCCATCTATTCATAGCGCTGCAGAGGTGTGGTAAAAACATGGCTCTGTCACTGTCGGTGTAACTTCAGGTGTGCATTAAGCACATCATTAATATAAATTATATTATAAATTGTTTGCAGTCTGGATGAGGCGAAGCTAGTTGCCAAAAGTCACAGTCACTCTGCAGATTTTGTACAAAGTTGTATCTGACACGTGCGAGCCGCCTGAACGGGCAAATGCATACAAAAGTATGTAAAATTACCCGTCCTGGCAAATAACTTTGTAGCTTTAACAATGATTAATCTATATTGAATTTATACACTGGTGTACAGACGCACCGATCTACCGGACATTTTTTGTTTTATTTCAAACTATCTTCTGTTCCGTGCTTGCACACAAACTGCACAGCAATAATTTTCCCAATGGCCATTTGTGTGGAAATATTACGCTATTATTATACTTAGTCTGTAAATGGCCACTAACAGAGGCCAGAGATGCTGAAGACGGACACAAAGAGGAGAAAATAGCCTACTGTAGCAGGCCAAGATCACTGTTCACGATGCGTGAAATATAGGAAGAAAATCCAAACATTGAATTTTATATGAATGTGTTTCTGAGGGGAACGGAACTGACTGTTTTCACAAATGGCGTTTTCTTTTCATTTGGTCTCCGTATGATGCATTTAAATTAGTGTTAATATGCGCAGCGCTGCTGTGTTTACAGCAGTAACCAAGGAAATGCTGTATTACTGTACCATAAGCGCCGCCTGCTGTCAGAGTGAATCTGCGTCTCATTCAGCCCACCTGCTGTTTCGGTTTCATACAGGTGTTTTATGTAGCATAATTTCACAAAGCTAAAGTCAGGTTATTCTGTTTTTGCTTCAGATTTTGAAACGATACAGTCTAACATAAAATCAAACATTGCACTTTTTTTCAATTCATGATTAAAATGCAGTGGTTGCCTGTAACTTCAAATGGCTATGAAAAATCAAGGTGCAACACAGAGTGAAGAATATGCAAATGTTATTTTATATGTGATTTTGGCCGACCGGCCAGTGGTTCAAAATCCTTCAAATCCTTAGCGTTGATCCCTGCTGTTGAATATTTACTTTTTTTGATCAAATAAATTCAGCCTAGGCGAACATTAGAAAATTCTTTCAAAAACATACAAAATCTTACCGACATTAAAATTTTGAATGGTAGTGTAAATAAATATATGTACATTAACACATTATGGCTATATTACTTATGAAAAAATTACATACATTACATTTTCTTTATGCACAATAAAATTTTGCGGTGAAAGATGACATGTTTTGGAGTAATCGAACTAGAGTTTTGGCGTGTTTTAAGGAAGGACTCTCACCATGTTGCCAGTGTTGGCCCACGCCAGGCAGAAAGTGCCGTTCACATATCCAGCCTTGTGAGCCACATCCTCGTAGAATTTGTTGACGGTGGTGGAGGCGGGCAGGTTGAGCGTCAGCCTCTCATTGACGGTCTTGGCATTGGTGGTGTCCTGCACTATACACAGCACTCTCGGCTCCTCCGCTGCACTTCCAGTCTGTAAATGCACAAGCACATAATGTGAGATTTGTTAAGTTTACTTCAACCAAACACACACATGAGTTTGAACTCAGCTCCAGTGCTAAAATTTTCCTCAGATATGACGGAAAAAAGCAGTAGACAAGCAAAAGTGCAACAGTCTTCTTGTGCCATGCAATTTCATCAGAGAACTGACAAATCGTAGAGTTACGCAACGTCCAGGAAGACACAGTAAGCTAGGAATTATGTACATATATAATACAAAGATTTCTGCAATCCAACATGAACAAATCAAGGTTAAACAAGAATAAAAGCATAACCATGTCCGTGAGCAGGCCTGACTAATAAATCAATAAATATAATGTGGTTTAAACAGTAAACATTCATATTATTAAACAGTGTTAAATGTAACCGCAAAACTGGTTCAGAAAAGTGAAGTTTTGGCTTAAGTGTTCAAATGAGGCCACAGTATGCAGTCAAGGCCATAATGCCGACTCCATGACTGGTGGTGGTTGGTTAAGTGCAGGTGTTGTTTACAAAGCAAAGCCATGGTCTTTTCATACGCTGTCTGAGCGTCTGCTAAAGAACTGATCGTGTTACCAAAAGTGCTGAATGAGGATTCCAAGAATGATGACAGCAAAACATTTCTACGTGCATTTTTGAAAAGCACTGAAAATAAATTGAGCAGACTGTTTCAAGGTTGCTTTTGATTATTTTGAATTACTATTGATTACTTTCTAAATACATACTTTTATCAAATAAAAGAAAGATAATTTTTCATCATTTTACTTATTGGTTTTTAAAATGTTATTGCCTTTTATAGCTTGGACAGTGGTGATTTCAATAATGTTGTATGAAGGAAACAGTCCAATTAACTACAAAATTTGCTATGTAACACCCACTTTGACAATCTAATCCAAGTCCCAATGAATAAAATCAAGTCTCTTCCTACATTTTTTTTTTCTTTAACCACTTTACAGAAAATTAAATTTTTTACACTACATACTTAAATTCCCAGCTTCCAGCAAAATATAAAGGCCAGGACTAGAGGTCGACCGATAGTGGATTTTGCCGATACCGATAGCTAGGTTGGACCACACTGGCAGATACCGATTAATTAACCGATAGTTTTAAAATTGATACCGAACAAAAACTAAAACAGTTCTTTATTAACAAAAACAATACTGAACCATACTAGTAGTAAAAAAAAAATAAAAAAGTAAACAGTTTATTTAATCACCAAACGGACACAAGTTTACTTCAAGAATGCACAATTTGGCATGGATGAATTTGAAGTTTGGTGTTTAAAAAAACGGAGCAAACAGATAGAGAAAGCGCGACCTATATTATAGCTCTATAAATGAAGCACACAGACTTTATTAGAGCCACAGCAAGACAAACGTTTTGCTGAAAATGCACAATACACAATTCATTATGTACATTAACAACGATTCGGGTCCAATATAATGTAATTTAAAGGAAAACTATGTGAATGGCGCTCTGTGGCGCGGCAGGATTTTCTATCGGCTGCATTTAAATATGTGTCTGAAGTTCCCCGCTCTGTTCAGCATGCAGTATCACGTGTTTAAACAAATAGCACGTGCTGTCAGTGATTTCAACCACTAGAGGCTGCTCTCGCAGTGTATAATGACAGCAGACCCTTCTCAGCCACTCCAGCAATGGACGCAACCCGGAAAACTATCGGCATGGATTTTTGTCGATAACCGATAGTTCCAGCAATCAACTATCGGTGCCAATTAATCGGCAAAACCGATACATCGGTCGACCTCTAGCCGGGACACACCAAGCCGACAGTGGGCCGTTGGCCAACGTCGGGCTAACGGCGAGCGACAGTTGGGCTAGTTTGTTTGGTGTGTTCCCCACGTCGGCGGCAGTTTGCTCGATTCAACATGTTGAATCGGCGTCGGGACTCTCGGCGCGAGTGAGAGCTCTGATTGGATGTTCAGTTTAGCGAACGAGTCAGTGCCCGAGAATTAAAGCGAAAGTGATGAAAACAAGCACGTAAATGAAGGCAGTAAAGACAGAAGGCTGTTTAAATGTTACGTGATCTTTCCCAATCATTCTAATACGCAAATGTTTTCATAACAACATGAGCCGCTTAAACTGATTAAAGTTATCAACATTACTGATATTCAAAATGGTAAGCAAGTGCTGCTTTGTTTACGTTTTGTATATCTGGGTTTATCTCGTAAATCTTAGTTTCGGTTTCCCCTTTTGAATGACGAATATATACTATTGATAGCTGCTGATACAGACTGTTAATTCCTCTCACGCATGCACAGAGCGCACGTGTTAGTTTGCCGTCGACTGTAGTCTGTGCGGTGTGTTCAAGCTTTTTGGTTCGACGCTGCTGACGCAAGGCGACAACACCGTCGGCTTTCGTCGCCGCTAGTTCTTTGAAGTCTGCTTGGTGTGTCCAGGCCTTAACTATCTGGGCGAATCTTGTCAAACCTATCAATGAAAAACTGGGGAATATTTCACTCTAAAATAAAAATAAAAATATAACATTTTAATATTTATATATATTTAAAATATTTTATTTTGCATACAACAATAATGACCAGATTTATTTAGATTTTTTTTAACCATCTGCCTGTAATAGTGTCTTGCCCTCAGCTTTCCCTCAAATCAGCTGATCTTTTCCTGACGTCTTCATTTGAGAGTTAGTGTCAAATGAATCACCATGCTGTAAACACACACACACACACACACACACACATGCAACACAAACGAAACCTGTGAGAACCTCTTCTGCATCTCCTCAAAAATACTCTGCCTGCAACTCCAAAAAATACCCTGATGACAAAACAACAACACACTGTTCAAGAGAAGTAAAAACCAGCCCAGAGCGTAAGGCTGGTCAATACGATAACATTAGGTTTAAAGGTCAACACGCAGGGGAAGAATGCAGATCTAGAGGAGAAAATGTGAAGATGGCACTGTAAAAGACACACAGATGTCAACACAAGCAGAGGCATTATCAGATTACAGGGTATTTTTATCAGGGATAATATCGTTAGGTGCTCACATGAAACAGGTTGGCCTGTACTAGAGTGGCCAGTATTCTTTATGACAAGGTGGAAAGGGCTACAAGATCTTTATCTCAGTGAAGACTTTCAATGATGCAGGGATGGATGATGCATATAAAACATCCACGATATATTCATATTTTCTTGTTGATATATCATTTTAACCAATGTTGTGAATATCGCAGAAATATTTTGTGAAGTGATTTGTTTTTTAGTCACCTAAAAATGTTTACAAAAGATTCTGTGTGATTTTACAGATTTTAAAATAAATTACTACAAATATATTATAGGGTTTCCACAAAATTTGATGAAATGAAACTATGAAATACTTAAATACTATGCAAAAAATACACAAAAGTAATTTTTGCAGCCATTTATGATTATTATGATGAAAAATTTCAGGAGCAGATTTCAATGTCTATGTCAGGTATCATTTAAAATGAATTAATACACTAGTAAATATGTATACAAATATTTTTAAATACATATACCAATATTTACTATACCTTGAGGCTGATGGCCTAAACATTGGCTACACAAATAAATCAGCCTACTGTGCAGCCATATTTTCAATATTTACATTTTTAAAGTAGAACATAACATGAACAATTTAACTATAGAATTTACTATAGAAAAATCAATGGCTTTTCCATTATTTTTAAGATTTATTTATATGTACAGCTTTTCCAGGTCTCATAAAAAAATATTTCCAGGATATCCCAGTGACTGAGGATATAATGTCCTATTAGGCTTATATTGTTAAATATAAATATTTATTTATTTTTTATTTTTTAAGGTATGTTGCCCACCGTGCAGTCATAAACTGCAGCTACATGTATACTGCTACACACTGGGACTAAGCAGCCCGGCAGATCAACACATTTCCAGGCGTAGATTCCCAGGTTGAATGCAGTCCGGAGTAATTTAGCTCATGTTCTGGTCCCGTGGGGGTGTGATAAAAACAGTGAGCTTGTGGTGCGATGTGGATGACATCAATAGCTGAAGTGAATAAAGATTCCTACCTGGCACGCAGATGCCAGCTGATGGAAAAAGAGACCGAGACCGAGAGCGAGAGAGCGAGAGAGAGAGAGAGAGAGAGAGAGAGA